GCACGTGTTCTAGAAACTGTGTTACCTGGGATGAGAAAGTCAATGGGGACCCATTAAGGAAGAAGGGGGGCTGGGGTCCTTTCCTCAGCACCCACTTTCTAGGGCCCACAAAACGCAGAATCTTAATGTTTGAGACCCAAAGCACCTAGCATTTGGGGGACACGTGCCCTCTGATTTCTGTTTTTTCAACCTGTTGTCACCTCTTGTCCTGCATCCCAGGATTCTCAAGAACCCTGAGTAGAGACACCCCCAAGAGTAATGGGGGTTCGGATGGGCAGCTAAGTTCTAGTGTCTTCTTCCTAGTAGGCCTGGAGGCAGGGTAGGGTGCAGGCTCCTTGAACCAGGAGTCCACACTAGGTGGTCTCTCCTACCTTGGAGAAAGGCCTGCTTCCCTGTGCCTCAGTGTCTCCTCCTGGCCAGAGTGCACCCAAAGGCTGGACTTGACCTCCCAGAGGTTCCATCAAAGTCAGAGAAAGTCCTACAGATCCAGGTACCTGGAAAAGCATTCCTGCACTCCCTACCCTGTCCCGAGGATGGGCACGACATATCCTCTCTGTGCATTTCTCTTAGGTCACTGCCAAGGAGGAGATGCCGACTCATGGGCACACCAGGGACAGGGTCGAACTGCCCCTGTGGGTTTCTGAGTCTGTAACTTTTCACGGGAGAAAGCTTCCTCTTTCTCCCATGCACTGGTGGTTTAGAACTGCTGACCTTGTGGTTAGCCTGATGCAAAACCACTCCTCTGCTTTTTTACAGAAGGCTTGGCTATGCACCGGGCAGTGTTAAGACCCACCTCCTTATGGGTGTTGTCTAGGAAACACTGGACAACTAACCAAAAGGCCAGTGGTTCAAACCCACCAGCTGCTCTGAGGAAGAGCGATGAGACTATATGCTCCCACCCAGATTGACAGCCTCTGAAGAAAGACATCGATGGGGTCCTTGTGAGTCAGGATGGGCTCGCTGGCTGGGGGGGTTGAGTTTGTGTTTCCTGCCCACTTGCAGTTCCTAGTTGACGAGGAGAGGTGGTGGGTACGTAAGAAAGCCACGCTCGTGCCAGCAAGGTGATTCTGATGCAGCAACCCTCTTGGAAGCCCTGTGGGATCTTTATAGGAGCAGAAAGCCTCCTTTTTCCTGTGCGGTGGCTGGTGGATCAGAACCGCTGCCTTTGGGGTGGGCAGCCCTCCGCATTCAGCAACAGGGCCCCTGGATGGCTCCACAGGGCAGCATACAAGAACTGGAGAGTCCGGATCCGAGCTGGAAGTCCAGATCCTGAGCGGACGAGGGAACACTGGCGGAGGAGGTGTCCATGAGCTCAGCCTTGCGAGAGGCCAGGCTTTCTGTGGACAGGGCTGTGAAGTGGGCTGGAAGTGGATCGAGGTAGCAGCCTAGTGAGCGGAGGCCTGGGCATGCTGGGAAGTGGGGAAGGGGGAGTGATCCCAATTAGATCAGAGCACTGGTTATGAAGGATCGGGGATGGTTGGGGCCGAGTGAGAAACATTCACGGCAAAAAAAAAAAAAATGCTATGGAAGACCTACTCCGAAGGAGTCTCTGAGTGGCGCAATGAATTAAGCGCTCAACCAGGAACAGAAAGGCCGGCAGTTCAAACCCACCAAGAGACATCTTGGAGGACAGTCCTGGTCATCTATTTCGGAAAGGTCGCAGGCTTGAAAACCCTGGGGAGCCAAGTTCTATTCTGATGTTGTACCTCCTCTTGGCCAGGCACCTGGGAAACGGCAACAAAGGAGACACCCAAGACCCCCTCCCCTCCGACAGCTGATGTTCTAGTGGGAAGACTGACGGGAAACACAAAGGGGATCAAGAGAGAGAGGAGAGAAAAAAACAACGATCCACTGCCATCGAGGGGATTCCGACTCATAGCGACCAGGCAAGACAGAGCAGAACTGCCCCCTTTGGCTTTCTGGGGCTTATGCATCTTCATAGGAATTTTTAAAAACCTCATTTTTCTTTCTCGGAGTGACTGGTGTATTTGAACTGCTGACCTTGTAGTTAGCAGCTCAACTCATAATCCATTATGCCACCAAGGCTCCAGTGGACAGCCAGTACAGGGTTGCGAGGCTATAAATCTGTATGGATGCTCCTGAGGAGCAGAGCATGGGTTTGAACTGCTAACCTTTTGGGTAGCAGACAAAGCTTACTGGACAGGGCCACCGTGATGCCTTAAACAAGAGGATGTCAAATGACAATTAGAACAAGGAGAAAAGGCACTGAAAAGGGATCTGGAGAGCTGAGGTTGCAATTTTAGGTGAGGTAGTCAGGGAAGATAGGTTTTCTACTCCCACCGTCTTAGAAACCCACAGGGGCAATTCCACCCTGTTCTGCAGGGTCATTGAGTGAAGTTACAGTCTTGTAAACCCACAGGGGCGATTCGCTATGAATCAGAATTGACAGGATGGCGATGGAAAGGTTTGGAGGTTCCAATTCACCCCAAGGTGACTTGAGAAAAGGGCCGATGTTCTGCTTCTGAAAACCAGCCACTGAAAAGCAGTTCGACTCTCACGCAAATGGAGTCACCACGCATTGAAGTTGACCTCAACTGAACAAAAAGTCTTGAGTTGCTGCAATGAGAACATAGCCTAGATACAGACGCATGGGAGGTGAGGGAGTCCGTAAGGTGTCTGGGGGCAGAGCATGATCAAACAGGTGTTATGAAAAGTGCATGGGGTGTGGCAGACAGAGGAGGTGGAACCAGAAGTTCTGAGATTCCTGGTTGGTTTTGGGTGGAAGTAATGGGGACCTGACTTGGCCCAGAACCCAGTTCCCTGGCCCTCAACTTCCCCTTACTCTGGTTCCCAGATTCTCCCAGAGCCTTGCCCTGATACCTGGGGCTTTGGACCCCAACAAGCCCACAAGTCCTAGGTTCCCTTTCCTAACCCAGCTGCTTCCCAGCCTCCCTCTATCCTGGGAGCCAGGCTCAGCTCCTTTTCCAGAGCCCAGCTGGGGGACATGCACATGGACACTCACGTCCACACACGTCCGCATGTGTGTGCTGTCCCGAAACCAACACATCCCCCGTCCTCTGCTCTCCCAGCCCCCTGACTGCTGCGTCACTGCCCTGACCTGACCACGGCGAGGGGGCCAGGGACAGACAGAGGGTGGACGCAGGCTGAGGAGAGGAGGAGTCTTGTAGAGGCCGTCTGACCGGCTCCTTCCCTCACTGCAGCTCGTCAAGCCCAGAGTGGCAGCCCTGCGGCCCCATGCCCTCCAGACAGGAAGGGAGGGAGGTCAGCCATGAGCATCAGCCCACAACTGCCAGGGGCCTGTGCCCGAGAGGTGGCACTGGGCCTTTGGAAAAGAGCTGTGGCTGCAGCTCGGGCAAGCTGGCAAAGGAGACCTTGGTCCACCCCCCACCCAGTCCCTGAGCTGCAGCGACCCTGGTGCGCTTGGCGACTGCCCAAAGGCAGGGGCCCTCAGCTGCCCCCAACCCTTTAAAAAACAAAAACACAAAAACAAACTCACTGCTACTGAGTCGATGCCAACTCAGAGTGATCCCGCAGAGAGGTGTTTCTGAGACTGTCACTCTTAATGGGAGTGGA